CGTACACACGAGCGTACAAAAAGAAACAAACACTATATTAAACGATTTATATCAGGTAACCAAATAAATTCGTGCGGTTGCGGTATATCGCACATTGCCATGGATGTTGTTGATCGATGGGATCTTCGACAGGTTGTGGACGCAAATTCCAGGACAACGTGCCAAGAACTTGCAGAAATGTTCAGAGTGAGTCCTGAAACTATTCGTTTGCATCTTCATCAGCTAGGAGACAACACAAGTTAAGCAAATGGGTCCCACATGAACTGAAAAATGATAACAGATTATGTCGTCTTACCATTTGTTCAGCAAACATTTCACGCAACGCTAATGAACCATTTCTTAATCGGTTATTAACCTGCGACGAAAAATGGATCGTGTATTCGAATTCTAAGCGTTCGTATCATTGGTTGTCGCCTACTGATTCGGTACCACCCACGCCCAAGGCTTCCTTGCACCCAGTCAAGGTTTTGTTGTGTGTTTGGTGGACAGCAACTGGAACTGTCCATTATGAGTTTTTGGAAAGGGGTCACACCATCACTGCTAACTTGTATTGTGAGCAGCTTCAACGAGTACAAGCAGCAATCATCCAGAAATAGCCTTCTTTGATCAATCGGAAGGCTCACACCGCAAAAGTGACCCGAAAAAAACTGTCTGAACTCGGCTGGGAAACGTTACCGCACCCGCCATATTCTCCCGACATTTCGCCCAGTGATTATCACCTTTTTTGTCTCTTGACAACTGTATGAGGCACCGACAGTTCACACCTCGAGATGGTGTAATATATGCAGTCCGCCAATTTTTTTACTCCAAATCCAGGGATTTCTACAATACCGACATACAAAAATTGGTTCCACGTTGGCAAAAGGTCATTGAATGTAATGGTAATTACTTCGACGAATAAATAGTGTCGTATTGTTTCTCAATAAAAATTTATATTTTTCTACTAAAAACCGCACGAGCTTATTTGGTTACCTGATATAAATGCGAAAATATGGCTGAATTATTATACTTGGGGTTTCCGATTTGAGCATCAAAGATAATTTTTGTAAGCTGCTTTTTGAAATTATTGAAATCAAGATGTTTAGCAGTCGATGGTAATTGATTATATAGATTGATGGCATTATAGGTAAAGCATTTATGAAATAAAGAAGTTTTGTGAAGAGCCATAGTTAACATGTCAGTGAATCGAGTGTTTCTTGAATGGATATACATATTCACGAAATATCAATTTATTTTTAAAAATGAAGGAATTGAAGTACGTAGGAGTTTGTGAACGTAGCATAATGAATGAAGCTTATACAATTTTGCAACATGATCATATTTTTTCAAGTTGTAAAATCAATCTACAACATGAATTTTGATTTTTTTTGTAGACGTTTAGCTGCAACTGAATCTATAAATGGATAAAGTTGTAGTCACCGTTCTTGGCGGGTCAAAGTAAGACTACCAGTATCTGTTTATATATCTCCATCACCCTCATACATACACATGAAACCTACCCCTGTATGTGAACGTTTGTTCGGTAAGCTCAAATACATGAGTCTTTTAGTTGTGTGTCTCCATCTCGAAAACTTTGTCGTTACATATGAGTGCCCTTCAATCATATTTATCATAGTGACAACTTACTTGATATTGGCGTGCAATTCGAGTTGTCCTGTTCTCAATATTCAATATAAAAGAAGGCCGACAGCTCCTGCTAAATTTATTAGAGTATTTCCAGGAAGAGAATGAAAACAGCGGACCTCTGTTACCCATTTCATGCGTACTGGAGGGAGTAGCAGATATGCTGAAGATTAGTCTGCGCAGTGTTCCGCCCATGATACGGAGACTCGATCTGTTTACTTGTTTCATGTGACGTTATGACGTAACCGCCAAGAATGGTGACTACCACTATTGTATCCCAAATCACAATATGTGATTTTCGATATTATCAAAGATTCACATAAATTTTGTTTGGATCTAAAATCTAAATCTCAAATTCTTTATAGTACAGATGCATAAAACAGTAAAACAATTTTTAGTGACATGATTTACATAAGAAATAAAATTGAGATTATCATCTATAAACAAACCTAAGTTTTTAACTGGTTCTTCGAGCTGAATAGCATGGCCGTTTAGAGTAATTATTTTTAATAAGGGACCTTAGATTTTTAGGAGAAAAAACAATAACTTTGGATTAGGAGAGATTCAACCAGAGACTATGTTCTGTTGCATAATTTTTAATAGAATTTACGTCCTCTACTATTTGTGCTTCCGAAATTTCTAAATTTTCATGATTGAAGCTATGATATAATTATGAGTCATCAGCAAAAAACGGAATACTACAGAATTTCACAACCCTGTTTATATCTGCTACATACAAAATAAAGATAAGTGGTCCAAGTTCTTTGAGGAAATCAGACGTTCTGCAAAAACTTCTGAATCAACGACTACCTTTTGGGATCTGATTATCAGAAAGCTGCGTATTAAACTAAGTGAGGAATCATCGACACCATAGTGCTCGCATTTAGCAATCAAAAGAGAGTGATTTATTGTATCGAACGCCTTTATGAAGTTTAAGAGAACTAATGGTGAATCTAAATGGCGATCCCACGCTCTGACGATATTTCCAGTAAGATCGAATAGGGCACTTGCCGTACTATGGCCTTTCCGAAATCCACACTGTTTTTCCGGCAGAATCCCATGTTCTAAAATACAGTCATTTATTTCAATGTTCATAGCTTTTTCTAATAATTTTGAAAGTGTAGGTGAAATACTTATGGGCCGTAAGTCTGTATATCAGTTTGCACTGCTAATTTTCGGTAGTGGTAAAATCAGAGCTTTTTTTCCATAAATACACTTATTTATAAACAATAATTTATTATAAGCAGGATGTGTGAAGAGATTGTGGGGTAACATAATTTTACCATTCTGAGCGAAACACCATCAGTTCCCAAGGCATTCAATTTCAATTTAATAATGAAGATAGATCTGGATAACTAAACTTATGATTTAAATAGTATTGAATTTTTTCTTCGGAGACGTATTTTTATCAAAAACTGAACAAAAATAGTTGTTTATTTCTGTTGGATGTTTTAAATGCGGAGAAATTCCATTATTTCTCGAACTTTGCAATCGCATTGATTTCAATGCCTTGTGTCGTTTTGATCCCGAATAAATGATAAAGAAGCTCGTTTTTTAGTTCTAATTTAAGCTAGTGTTGCATTACACAGTTGTTTATATTTATTCCAAGATTCTTGAGTTTTACTAATTTTGATCTCGGTTAGAGCTTTGCTCTTTTTTATCATAAACTGAAGATCTGAAGTTAACCAAGAGGCTGCCGGTTTATTAACCCTTACAGCTCTTGATACCACCAGGTAGATACGTAACGGTGTTTTTGAATAAAAAGCTCTATGGGTCAGACTGGTATTTATACATTTCATCAATTTTCATCCATTCGAGCTCATTAATGGCCTTTGATATATGAATATATTTTCTAAGATCATATACAACTCTGCAACATGTATTCATAACACTTTGAATGCGATTTCTTGTTCTAATATCTAAATAGGGATAGTACATCACTAAGCAATATGCCATTTTTGAAAACAAGGAAGATTCACACAATTGCTTTCTCGCAGATTTATGTACTATAGCTTTCTTTGCAAATAAAACTCTGAGAATAGCACTAAGAAATTAGATAGTTTACGTTTTCGTCAGATTTTAAGACATCATCCATTATAATACCTAGGTTCCTTGAATGATCCACAGGTACTATTTTATTACCTTTTAGATTTATGTGTATGTTCTTTTTTAAAGCAGTCATTTTTGTTTAATCTGCGAATACCAACATATTTGTCTTTAAACGGTTCAAATGAAGATTATGACTACTACTAAACTTTTCAATTTGGGCAAGACCTTGATTAATTTTATTATTAGCTGTTTTCAAGTCATTACTTCTAAATGAATAGATTGTTTAGATGGAATAGTTTTGTTAGAATATAAATAGGCGCGTTCCAATACTTTTGAGAAAGGCTTTTGAGAGGCAGCAGCGGTGGCCGCAGTAGTAGACTCTTCGGTCGCCGTGCGCTGTGCGGGTTCGAGTCCCGTCCCAGGAGAACTTTTTCTCTTGGCTATGGATGTTGTGATTGTCGGTAGGTGGTAGATGGTCTCTGACTGTCGAACGCGGAGGTACCACCCGGCGGATCTCGTAGGCGGAGCCAGAATGTGTGCATGTTGCATGCACATGTGTTCCCTCGCCAGAGTCCGTGTGGCGTTCCCCCTTTCCCATATATCCCCCTATAGCCCCACGGTACCCAATGGGTGCTTAGGCCTTAGGCCTTCGTGGTAGTTGGAGTATATGTATATAAAAAAAAGAAAATAGGCCTTAAACTGAGGGGTCGCAGTTGACCATAGTTAGTAGGATGAGATCACTTAGGCATCGGAACAACTATAGCGTGTTTCCGCTGATATGGGAAATATAATATGATGAGTGAAATATGTCTAAAAGTCTGCGTAGACTTACCACGGGTGGAGGCCTATAAGTATACCACTATATCCCCACTGCCCAATTGTACACCGCTCAAATTTCTATTCAAAAATGACCGGAATCATCTGAAACATCAAAAAAACGAAGTTTGAGCGATTTTTATTTTGGTACTTTTTGCCTCTAGCTCCAGCGCCACTAGATCGATTTAAAAAGCTGTAAAGCCTATTTGTCCTTGGTATAGTAGTTATCTTGTATGAGAATTTTTTCAAAATCCGACTGGAACTTTCCTTGACCCCTCTATAATTTGAGTGACATGGTTTTTCGTGATGTATGTCATAACATATCTTACTTCCGAAATTTGTCTCGATTACAATACTTTCACGGCAGTGGCGTAAGATGTGAAAACAGGCACACTCAATGTGTTTTACCTTATTTTTTGTACCTAATCACGTAGTACGATGTTCAGCTTAACATGTGTTGATTTCAGTGAAATACAAGATATCTAAAAAATAAATTCTTTTTCATGTTGCAGGTCTCCCTCTCTCGCTGATGATAGGCATGCGGTATGGAAAGTACCTATGCAAGAAGTACAACAAACCTTTCATCCCGATCCATCACATGGAAGCTCATACATTGACTGCCAGGATGCATGACAGCACCGTGACGTTTCCTTTTCTGGTATTACTCATCAGTGGGGGTCACTGCCTTCTGGCTGTCGCAGAGAAAGTGGACAGATTCTTGCTGCTCGGTGAGAGTTTGGACGACGCCCCTGGAGAAGCTTTTGATAAGGTCAGATCCCATTTACCTCATCACTAATATGACTAAACATTAGGATGTCCCAAAAAAATGAAAGTTCTTTTTGTCAAATGTATAATTTTACTTGAACAATGTTAAAACAATTGTAAACAAAGTTTTATGTACCTAGAACCAGGACAACCCGTGCCGAGTTGCATTGGAACTAGCTAGGTAACGTATTGCAGTGCTCGTTTGTTTTGTTAGTAAATGCACTGTTTTCGTTCAGTCAACATGTCGAAGGAATTACGCAGTTCTAAAAAAGAAATATCTTTAATAGGGGACGTAAAGGATCAAATTACCGGTTTAATACTTCCCTCTAATGGACAAGTACTAGCAGTTTTGTTCTATAATATCCGGAAAGTGAAATTAAGTGTCAGTGAGAGCGCCATCTTACTATTCGTGAGTGCATTATTTACTGGGAAAAGGCACGTATACCAACTAAATCTCAACCTGTGTTAAGCAACTAGTTACCTTTTACCCGGATTGGAGATATTTGCAAAAAAAATGCAAGCAAAACCCAAGAAGTGCCCTTCAATTGATGAAAATAAACGAAGACAGGATCTTCTTGCAGCGGCAGAGAGAGCCAGGTCGACCCGGTAATTTAGCTGGGGTGGGCAAGAAATTAGCCATAAAAGAAAAAAGGTGCGTCTTAGGAACACCGAAGAACAAAAGCTGCGAGTTAAATATCTTGCTTCCCTAACTCCTTCAACATCACCTTACGAACCAGTGCAAGAAAATTCGTCTTCAGATTCCGTGATGGATTTACTAGAAACTTGGCCCATCCCAACTCAGTATTAGATATGTAGGTGTCAGTTAAGTATGAGAAATGCTGTTTATGTTATTTTAGCAACCATTGAGGAACTTGGGCATAATACTGACGAGTCTCCTAAAAGCAAGTCCTCTATTCAAATAATTGAATTGAATAACTCTTCAGACTGGAATCTTGAAGATAAAGTACAAATTCTCTGTTGTAATACTACTGCTTAAGATACAACAAACAAGCATTAACGGTGGGGCTTGCTTCTCGAACAGAAACTTAATAAAGTAATGCTTATTTTTGCTTGCCGCCATCAAGTCTACGAATTGGTGTTAAAAAGATCGACCAAGTGACTACAAGCCCTGACATTCCAATGTTTAAAAAGTTTCGCGAGAGCTAGGAAAGTGAATCCCATGAAAATACAGATTGGTATTGAAAAGCTGACATGCCTGAATATTTCAGAGACTGACAAGCTGCTAGAATTTTAACGACATGAACTGACCAAAGAAGTTGATGGAGACGACTATCGAGAATTAGTAGAACTTTCAATAATATTCATTGACGGAGACACATAGAAAAAATTCAAGGTTCGACCGCCAGGCGCCGTTCATCAAGCTTGATGGATGGCAAGAGCGATCTACTCATTAAAAATAGCGTTACTAAGTTCCCAGCTCAAACTTTCTAATAAGGATAAGGTAGCTCTGTTAGATATCTGACTGTTCATCGTGACGACAAACCTGAAGCAGTGGTTGCAATGCACTTTAGCGATAAAAGCACCTAACCAGGGTTTATGCTTTTTAAAGGCAATGAAGGCTTACAGAAGAATTGACAAAACCATTTCAAAAGCAGCTGTACAAAAGTTTTGCCAACATTTATGATATTTGACAGATGAAGTCTCTGTCGTATCTCTGTTTGACACCGACGTAGATGAGGAAACTCAAGTAAAAATTGCTGCTAATTTAACCAAATAAAGTCCATCAGCAAATGGTAAACGCTACATCCCATATAAAGAAAAACTTTCTGGCCCAGTTTATGGTAAGGCTGACGGATAAAGTTTCCTTTGTCTTCTTTTACTGCTTCGATGTAATATGCTAACTGTTGAAACAAGCCAGCATAAACTGCGATTCTGGCAATAGATGGCACCTTACTGTCCTGTTTTGATAGATCTTATACCTCAGATAGTTGCTATATATTCGTTCATTGTCCTGACCTGAGGCCAAGCCTATTCAATGCTAATGAGTTGCCGAAAAGCTCAAAACTCTGTCCATGGTTGACTGTCTGTGATCAGATGGACAAACTCATTAGATGGTAGCTATTCTTCATTTTTCATTTCAGAGAAAAATATCGATAACTTTGTTTCAATCAAAGCAAGTCTCTGTTCAGTCGACTCAAAATTGATGAGTTTTCTCGACGAATGTCCAATTTCATGGCAACATAATAATTATTTTCAACACGCTAAGAATAAGATGCAAACACTAGGAGCAGTTAACGATACGGCCGACAGAGCAGTCAAAAACAATTTTTATTACGTTGCGTACAAGAACACTGACTGTAAAAAGAAAACTTTGAAAAGAAAATTTGGTAAATAACGTTCTTTTAATGATAAATATCTAAGAAATATAAGATACAAGTAAATCAGCGTTTTATTTGTCGAATAAGAATTATGTTTTGAAATCCATATATTATATAGTTTCCCTACTAATTTTCAAATGCAAAGTTTGACCGAAGGGTTATCGTTCCCCAATCGCAATATTTAGTTTTTGAGTTGTTAGAGTCAAATGGAAGAAATTACGTAGTCGTGCCATAAGTTCTGTCCCATGATAATCTCATGATAAAAATGAAACAAGATAAGATATATTTATATGAAAGATATTATTTATTCGACAACATTTTTAGAATTCATAATCAAACAGTTTTATTCAAAATGTCCCCCCTTGGCCTTCACACACTGCTTCAATCTCGCGGGCCACTCATCTATCACTGCACGCACAGCTTCCAAAGGAATAGCTGCCGCTGATCGGATCAAATCCGCTTTCAGGGACTCGATATTACGGTGGGCTTTGGAGCAGGCCAACTGCTCTAGCAGGTCCCACAACTTGTAGTCTAAAGGATTGAGGTCCGGACTCCCTGAGGGCCAATCTTCCTCAGCAATGAACTCTGGCACATTGCTTTCCAGCCAGCGCTGCGTACTCTTAGCCTTGTGAGCGGGGGCGGAATCCTGCTGGTAGACCCAGTGTTGGTTAGCAAACAATGTACCACTTAAAGGCTTGACGATAGGATCCAGTATGTCGCTCTGATAGTTTGCCGCTTTTGTTTTCACGCCCTGTTTACAGAAATGGAGCTGAGTGACCCCTTCGTAGGACACCCCCCACCAAACCATGACTGACGCAGGGTGGTGGCCTCTCTCAACTCTCGGAATGATCTCCGAAGCTTCCTGTGAACTCCTTGCATACACTTTGTCATTTTGTCGGTTGAATTTTTCTTCTATAGTGAAGATTTTCTCATCCGTGAACAAAATCTTTCGGAATCCCCCAGCTGCGTACCTCTCCAAGAGCTTCTTGGATCTTGTCGCCCTGATGTGTCGCAAGGTGGCCGTAAGTCGCTGGCCCGTACGTCTCCGGTAAGCCCCTAGCCCTAGGTCTTGTTTAATGATGCGCGACATCGTCCGGACAGGAATCTTCATTTCCCTGGATAGGATCTTCTGCTTCCGGAGTGGATTCCTTTGAATCCTGGCTTTTACGGCTTTGATGGCTGCTGGAGTCCTTACTTGACGAGGTCTTCCGCCTCTTGGCCTGTCATCAACAGAGGACGTCTCATTGTACCGCTGAATGGTCCTAGACACAAATTTACGCGATATTTGAAGGCCGCGTAAGAGTTCAAAAATCTGACTAGCACTGTGATTACACTTATGTAAAGCTATCACTGCAATACGGTTCTCTGCCTTGCCCCACTCCATCGTTATGCTTCGAGAGATCAATACAAACTGAGGTATATGTAATTACCCGAAAAGCGCTTAATCAACTGACACCACAATGTAAACAATCGGACAAGTATTAACAGGTCTACACTTGTTTGAAAACGAGGGACAGAACTTATGGCATGACTACGTAAATGATATCACGCCTGTCTGTGTAACTGACTGAACACGATCAACTCGAAAATTTCCGAATTGATTTTCATGCAGTTTTCATCAGCGGACAGACTGATTAATGGGGACAGTTGAGGTGTATAATAAAATCTGATAATTTCAAGACCTACTAGGAAATTCTGTTTTTTTTTAATAACTAATGGTTGGCTATGTCATTTTATGACATATTATACATTTTTGAAATTAGAATTCAAAACTCTATTCATCAGTGCAAAAATCCAATATGGCGTCCTCAACATCATAGTCGAATTCTAATTATATCATCTTGTAGACAAGAAAAAGTGGCAATGTTAGTGGGCAATTTATTTTAAAATCCCATTACAAATAAAGTCAGGAAAAAATTAAAACGATGTTGGAAAAATTCCATTTTTCCATCTTTCCCCGGAAGTACTTTGAATTTCGACTCTTTCTAAGCGGTATTTTGTTGATTACCTTAATATTCAATTTTGCCCCCATTCAGCACACCATGTATACAATTTCCCATTGAATTATTTCTTGGGTTATAGATGGCCAGAAGAATGAAACTGAAAAATTTGCCAGACTATTCTACCCTGTCGGGTGGACAAGCTTTCGAATTAGCCGCACAGAAAGCAGACAATCCTTTGCAATACAGTTTTACCACACCTTTGTTGCAATATAAGAATTGCAACTTCAGCTTTGCTGGGCTCAAAAATCAACTGCAGAGGCAACTGATACGAGAAGAAAGGGAAAAAGGTATGTATTACACTGTCCATTTTGAATGGACTATCTAGGACTCTGTGCTATTAGATATTGCAATACGGGAAAATTTAAGCGCCGATTCACCTCATAAAGATAAGAAAAAAGTTTATAAATATTGGTCTAGAAATTCCCAGTTTCGCTGAATGAGGTTATTTAAACTTGTCCGGCTGCGGTATTACGTATCTTGCAAAGAGACATTGTCGTTTTTTTTAAAATTATATAGGTTTTTTGTGACATTATGTAGGTTTTTCTACAAGATGCCAGCTTAGCACTAGCTCTTGTACACCTGCTGTGTGCTCGTTCCGTAGCTGTACATGTTGCCTAAACGTCATGATGCTTCAGCTATCAATGTTTGGCTCTGATGTAATGTAACATCTGCTACGGAGATGGCATTATTGGAGGTCTAAGCTGCAAGTTGTATACTATAGCTTGAAGGAGACGGCAAAGCATATATCAATAGTGAGGATTTGAGTGCTAATAATTTGTGTTGATGATAATTTAGGCAGCAGCGGTGGCCGCAGTGGTAGATGCTTCGTCTCTTGATCAGTCGCTGGCGCCGTGCGCTGCCAGGGGGCGAATCCCATCCCAAGAGAATTTTTTCTCTTGGCTATGAATGTACCACCCGGCAGATCTCGTAGGCGGGGCCAGAATGTGTGCATGGTGCATGCACACGTGCTCCCTCGCTAGAGTTCGTATGGCGTCCCCTCTTTTTCCGTGCATCCCCCTATAGCCCCACGGTACCCCATGTGTGTTTAGGCCTTCGTGGTAGCTGGAGTATAAAAAAAAATCCATTGGTTTCTTCTCTCAAATACACTTTCTTGAGATGTATGCAAAGTTGAAATTGGTTTTCTTATTCAACCTGCAAATTACATATGCAAATTTGCTGGTCTTGAAAAAAGAGAGGGATCAGAAAAGGAGATCCCTGGGTGAAGTATATTAAAACTAACAGCTGAGCAAATATGGTACATATAGGAATTAACTTTTATTTTCGGTCATTTAAATTTGAAATTTATTTTACGATCTCAAGTAGAAAATACAAATCAGCGCCTAGTTGTGAGACAGTGCAAAAATGTTTTGTATGTGATGCGTCATTCCATTTTCTGTGACGTGGCTTAATATTGCACACAACGCGGATGCGGTGCTGATTTCCCGTAATGCTTCTCAAATTTTTTGATAACGCAAAAAAAACGGGGAAAGTCGTACTGAACAACTTTGAACATAACCTCTCTTCAGAAAGGGCAAATAATGGGCAGCGTATCCAGTAATAATTTGCTTACATAGCAAATGTAACTGATTTTATACTCATGCAGACCAATACACACAATCATCCAGATATGATCTTGCTACTCTGTTACTCAATCACACATTTCCTCAGAGATATAGTCTATAACCTATCCCGGCATTCTACAACTAACAAAGCATGATGGGGAAGTGACCTGCAGCTTGCAGCATGGTCATTGAGCGTGTCGTGTCGTTCACTCATAGATGGACGCTTTTGATGACGCTCACAGCGCTAATAGCGAGCAAACGCGTAATGTACTAATAGCACACCAGGAACGATATGGCAGCAAGTTGACATTTTGTCGGTTTTTTGACGTATCATATTTCTGTTTCCATGGCAGTTGTAGGATGTAGGAAACATGTGGTACTTATGTCTAACAGGTGCATAACAATACCGGGATCAGCAGCTTCTTAATAGGTATTTCACTGACACCAAACATGCCACAATTTACAACCATTTACCGCATACAGCTTACAACCTATAATATTTAATCCCTCCAAATAATGTATGAAAATGAGCAGGAATCTCCGAAACGTTGTAACACTATGTTCTAGCGAGATGGTATTATACCCAGATAGTAATTGCATTTTGGCTCCGAATCTCGGAATTATCAACTCTAACAGCTAAAGAAGTTAGCTTCTGTTTGCCAGAAAGTATAACTACTCCCGTCTTCTCAGGAGCCAATTTCAAGCCATTTTCTTCTATCCATATGGTAAAGTAGCTGATAGCGGCAGCTACAGTAGTAAGAAGCTTTGAGTTATAGTTGCTTTTCTCTCGATAAACTAGATATTCCTCGCTATCTATTGAACATAATAAAGAGCTACTTTGACGAGAGGGCACTTATGATAGGACAAAAGACGATAAAGGTAACCAGGGGAGTGCCGCAGGACTCCGTCCGTTGCCCTAGTCAAATTTGCAGCATAAAAATAACACATGTTGCAATTACAGCATATCAACCTATTTTCATTTCAATGCAAAATAAGTCTATAACGCATAGGTGGCTGTGAAAAATAAGCCATGACAATTGTTTTTATTAATCACAGCTGTCAGAACACGTTTAAAATACTTTTGGGTAGTTAAGGTTTTCAAAATGGGTAGAGGAAAGGTTATTAGTCAGAAAATTCGGTTACTGATAATTAAATTTTTTAATTCTGGGAAATCAAACTCAGAAATTGCAACTTTGTTAGACTTATCGCGGTACAGTGTGAGAAATATTGTTAGAAGATATAACGTAACTGGTTCAGTTAATATTAAGCCACGATATGTGAAAAAAGTAATATCACAAATGCCGACCGAAGAGCATTAAGAAGAATAATCGTGAAAAACAGGCGTGCCAATTATTTACAATTAAGTGCTCTGTGGAGTGACGCTGTTGGAAGAAGAATTTCCAGGTCCACATCTCATAGAGAGGCCCACAAACTGGGATTTAGCACTTGCAAGGTAAGTTTTCTTATAAAAAAAAGTGAAGTGAATGGTGTGCAATACAATGGAGTGATGAGTCCCGATTCGAAGTTTGTGTTGGTGACAGTCGCAGTAGAGTTATTCGCAAAAAAAATGAAGCATTCTATGTTGACTGTCTGAAGAGAAAAGTGAAATTTCCAGCATCAATTATAGTCTGTGGCAGTATGTCATCAAAAGGAGTAGGAAAACTTCATTTTATTGATGGAAATGTGGATGCAATTTTAGAAGAATCGCTTTTACCAGTGATGGAAGAATGTTTGACATCCGGCCAAGATTTTGCGTTTCAGCAAGATGGTGCAGCGTGCCATATCTCAAAAAAGGCTATAAAATGGATGGAAGAAAATAATGTACCACTTTTGAAATGGGTTTCTAGCAGTCCAGATCTGTCACCTATTGAAACTTTGTGGCACGAGATGAAAAAGGTTCTACGACAACATCCTGCTCGTATAATCACCGAACTGAGACAAAAGCTTCAAGAAATATGGGATTGTTTTACACCAAATTTTTGCCAAAACTTGACTAACACTATGCCCCAAAGAATTTCAGCCGTAATAAAAATAAAGGTGATGTTACCTAATGGTAATCTTTCAATTGTTGCTTTGTTAACTTCGCGCATTTATTCGCACATTGTTTATTTCTTCAGATGTTCTATTAATTATAGGTCTAAGTGATTTCAAATATGTATTTTTTACGACTAGAGTGTATCTAAAATGTTTTTGAGAAAATAAATTGTTTTAGAAGTAAATAGTTTCGTCATGTTTAGTTTATAAAGGCATATTTTGGTACAAACCTTGAGGTGGGCCAACTGAAGTGGGAAGGTGCTCGTATGACTTGGAATTGGCTCCTGACGGAGGTAGTTATACTTTTCGGCAGACAGAAGCTAACTTCTTCAGCTGTTAGAGTTAATGATTCCGAGATTTGGAGCCAAAATGCAATTAGTATCAGGGTCTGTGGCACCACTGACAAGGTACGCCATCTAACCGAATCCCCAGCAGTGAGAATCTCAGGATTTTGGCAGGGATGGCAAACTCGATTCTGCTGTACGGACACCCTAGTAAGCAGTAATTGGCGAATGTATCGAGCCAGCATCTACCGTTCACCGTGATGGCGTCAACTGTTAAACCGAATTGAGATCATTTTACAGTTGTCACACTGTCGAAGTAGCCGATTTTGGTAGTAGATATACTCTGGCTATTCTAATGCTCACATCTTTTGCATTACAGATATTCCTGCAGATGGTGTGATTCCTGGCATCCACAACCTTTGTGCAGGGTTTCAACTAGCCATTACTAGGCATTTGTGTCACAGACTACAAAGAGGCATGGATTATGTAGAGAGAAAAAATATGATTCAGTCTGATAACAGAATTTTGGTAATTTGATTATCAGCTTTACATGTTTATTAAGAAATAATATGAAAATGGAACATTTTCACTGGTAATAGAATTCTAAACTTAATGAAGTAGGCTGTCAAACTCAATATAACACTGAGAAAAAATTGAATCAAACCTTATTCAAACTCCGATTTCTAAACCAGCTCACTTGAATCTAAGTAACTAGTCTAATTAAATCAAAACGCAATCGTTTAATTACATTTATTAAACCGTCTACTTAGATTAAGTGAACCGATTTATTTAAAATTAATGAACCATTATAATCTGCTCCAACTAAATGGATGTAATTATGCTTATTAAATTTGTTTAATTAGTGTAGGTAAACGTGTTTGCCCAGCTTTAATGAATTTTTTGATAATATTTGGAATACAAAACAACAAATAGAAAAATTAATGGGCAAAATCCGTAAAAAGAAGGGACGTGGATTCGAGCAGAAAATAGGATAGGTAACCCGGGTAATACGTATTTCTGTTGGTTGGCTTTATCAGGCCCGAAATGAATACACATATGCAACTACAAAAGTAGACACGCATGCTCATATATCCGGATACGGGTGTAACCTGGGGAAACGAAGATGGAGAGTTAACAAAACGGCAGACGAAGTCACCAACAAGAGCCAACCCACACATTGTAGTATAATGGCCAGAAGACCTCGAATTTTCAAGTCGACATCTGACCACAACCACACGACCGGTTGTAGCCACTTGCCGTGGTATTTGAGGAACAATATATTTGGTATAAATGCCCCTCATTGGCCGAAATATGGATGCATAAATGAATTTCCATGTTCTTCCCATTCCGTCATGTAAGCAGTGACTCTCTTATACAGAGTATGTAATTCAATGGGAGCGATAAATATAACCATCGCTATGGGCCACTAAAGCCTAATACTCGAGTATTTCACTTGATCACAATAATTGATCCAGTTCACAGCTACTACATCGACAACGGCAACATTCGGATATGAAGCTGTGGTCACAAAAATCACAAATGAAACTGAGGAGTTCGAAGCGTGTCACCGGTACTGCGCCTGTCGCGATCATTCACGAATGAAGCGCCGAATCCTCCTGAGTCCGCTAATCAAATAAACAGTTTAATTGATTTTATTAAAATTTCTAATTGTTTTAAATGTACCTTTTCTATACAGGGTGGCCCAACGAAGAGGTCGCACCCCACTTGTGACTCTCCTGGTATAAAACTAAGAGATAACATTTTAACAAAGGCAAACAAAAATAAAGATAAAACGTTGACATTATTTACTATGTTTCCAAAGAAACAAGTTGAAGAAATTATTTTTTCTGGGTGTAACACTTCAAATGTCACTGAGTATACAATTGAGCTACGAATTTCCGAAATAATAGAAAATCACATTCATTTCCAACAACATGGTTCACCGCTGCACTATGTGGCTCCAGTACGATAGTTTTGGACATTCATTTCCCGAATCAGTCGAGCAGCAGACGAGGCCCCATCGTGGCCGCCGATATCTTTGGACCTAAGTCCTTTAGATTACTTTGTTTGGGAGCATTTGAAAAGTAAACTTTTCAGTACGACTCCAGATTCCATCCAAGATGTAGACAAATAACTCAAGACATGCTTGAAAATGTGAGGAATAGTCTCGAACAAAATCTTTATTACATCATCTTTCCTTGCCGAATATAAAAATGTAGCACGTGCATTCTTGTGAATTACAGTATATTAACACTGTCACAGCAGGAACACGTATAATTACCGTATCTCTAAAACTTGAACTAATATTGAAAAAATAAGTTTCATTCCGGTTTTAGCACATTAAAAATAGTAATATTTTGTTGATTTTGTTTAGGATATTTTTTGGCTGTTGATCAGTGTTTTCTAGAATTGTATCGTAAACTCAAATAGCTTCACAACGATTGAAGATAGGTATGAACTTTATTATACAAAAGTTACTAAAAACTTCATAGAGAATCTAAAAATTAAAAAAATGGGGATTTCCATTTAAAGATCTAAGTTGTAACGCAATATCTTATTTTTGAATCACCCTGTATTGCACGGCTATAGATAAAAAAATTTTCCCCTAGAAAGCAAAATTGACGTGACCTAGCGTTTTTTCCAAAATATTCCAGGAGAGTCACAAATGAGGGGGCATCATTTTTGTTGGGCCACCCTGTATAAACTAAATTATCTAAACTAATTAAGCAGTTTAATAATATATTAATTTTATATAACTGCTTCCAGAACATTCAGTTTGATTAAGCCGGATAGTTAGTTACTTAGAATGATTAAAAAATTCCTTACGGCAAGGAAAAATATCAATAAAAACTGTTTAACCGACCACGTTTTCTCAGTGAATCAGTGTACACAACTGCAAAATAGTTTTTTTGGAATTTTAATTTTTGTGGCACAAAACGTAGCTGCAATCAATCCATGTCAAGGTGAAGTTTACCTGTATATAGAGAAACGGAACATCATTCTCCGATTTTGTACTTGAATAAGGATATTATCCTCCAACAGGTGAACAAGTGTTATAAACTACTGAACGGACCAGTCTAATTGCTGTTTTGCGCATCGCGATAGTATAAATTTAATTGGTGTTATTAGCTCCACTGAAGGAGTGCAGAGTAAATTTTTAAGACAGGCAGCTATTAAAATGGGTCTGAGTCAGAATGCTTCAATAACTAATGCTTACGTTGACCATAGACACGCGACAGGGAAATTTTTTATTCATATTTTTAGCTTAAAATAGTTAATGGTGTCGTAGATTGTCCAGAGGTGCTAGCACAAATAAAGCTTAATGTTAATTAAAGATAAACTCGCAATTCTACATCATTCTACTAATTATGGGACGATTGAACCAGTTACTAGAATTCTTAGATCTGGCAATGCCGCTGTAAGCTGCAATATAGATATTTTTAGTAACAAAATTAAAAAATTCTACTTTAGTTTATGTTTTTAAATATACCGGGTGACATTGAAAATTTGAAACGCACTGTATTGTTTTGGCAAATGAAGATGTCGCTCTAAGATTGAGACATGTTTAGTTAGTCATTAACATGCTTTTCTGGAAAGTTGAATGGGTTATCCCTCCCTTCCGGTTTAACCTGAAGTGATCTTGACTTTCGTTTGTCAAATGGAAACCTGTATATTTTCTTCCATAATATTACTCTATTATACAGGGTGTTCCAGTTTATTATTGCATAACTTTAAGATTCGATAGAACTTTTAAAATTAATGCATAAAGTCTATATAAACATGGGTCGCAAAATGCTTGGCTTCCGAAATACAGGGTGTTTAAATTTACTTTCTAAAATAGTTTTTTTTTAAATATTTCGATCAATATTTCATGTATAATAGTGAAAATTGGTATACAAGGGTTTTCTGGTACTACAAAACGAACCATGGGCATAGTTTTACTGTAGCCGCTAGAGGGCGCTCTCTACTGTACCAGTAGTGTATTAAAATGACCGAAAATCTTTTCTTAGTGCAATGTTTTGCTTTTTGAATAAAACTGATTCTTCGCACTTTTCAACATAAAAAGCTCTCCTGTGAGTTTTCGTTATAGTTAGCCGTTTTTGAGATATTTCGTTTTTTAGGTTCGATGCATTTTCAATTATTTATGGGAAAATAATTTTTTTTTTGGATTTGGGCATTACAATTAATTAAGATGATCGTTTAGATTGTGTTTTTAAACACAGCAATAATTCCTAACTCCAAATAAACACAAAAAAACAGAATATTAATTTGTTTAATTTTCCAATATTATTTTTAACAAATTAAATTAATTATTTACAACTAAACTGCTATTGGATAGTTAGGACAAACATACAAAATCTAAAGTAGTTGCTCGAAATGTAAACCCAATTGTTCAATACACAATTCACATCTACGAATGATCGAACGTGGTATAGCATTATTCAAATAAGTCCTTATTTCATCACATGCATTCGTGATTCTGTCTATTAGCATATCTCTTGTGGTTACGGGAGTCTGGTACACTTTTTCTTTTAGAAATCCCCACACAAAGAAATCTAATGGATTTAGGTCAGCGGATCGTGGAGGCCAGGCGACTGGTCCTCCACGGCCGATCCATCTTTCTGGATAACTTTCGTCCAGCCAGTTTCTAACTATTCTCGAATAATGAGCTGGACAACCATCAAGCTGGAACCAGGCCAATCTTCTTAAATCTAACATAACATCCTCCCACATATTTGCATGTTCAGCCTTTAAAAATTCCAAGAAGGTCGCAGCATTTAACCTTGCAGGCAAAAGGTAGGGTCCAAATAGTCGATTACGGTAGATACCAAGCCACACGTTCACACTAAATTCATGCTGAAAATTTCTTTCCAGAACTGCATGCAGATTTTCATGCGACCAAATATGTTGATTATGAAAATTTAGCACTCCACGTCTAGTGAAGCATGACACATCGGTCCATAAAACGTTACTTAAAAACTCCCTATTATTATCAGTTCTATCAAGAATCCACTGACAAAATGTGATTCTTCGTTCTCCGTCCTCTGGCTGTAGTCCTTGCACAGGTTGCAAATGGTAAGGACGTCTATGGTCATTTCTCAGAACACGGTGAACATGACTTGCTGAAATTCCCAAGGCACCAGATACTCTCCTAACACTTGTGGTCGGATATCTATCAAACTCACGCAGAATCATACGGGTAAATCTGCGCTGACGAACATTTATGTTTAGATCCCTTTGGAGATTTCCAAAACCATTTTCAATTATTTGGCGATGCACTCTTACAAATACTGAGCGAGTTGGATGTCGTCTGGAAATCTTCGTGCGTATTCTCTGGCTGCTTCTGCTGCGTTTCCATTTACAAAGCCATACACAAAATGAATATCCGCTAACTCTTGATTGGAGAATAAAAATGGCATTTTTATAAAACTTACAAAAAAACAGGCAAAAGAAACTAAATTTCGAGCATTCAGAATTGCAAAAAAACGTTTCAGGTTTCAACAGACAACAAAACTAACTGTCAACTA